TGTGTGTGTGTGTCTGTGTGTGTGTGTGTGTGTGTGTCTGATTCTGGTGTGTGTGTGTGTGTGAGAGAGAGAGAGTTTGTGTGTGTGTGTGAGTGTATGTCTGTCTGTGTGTGAGTGTGTGTATGTGTGTGTGTGTGTGTGTGAGTGTGTGTGTGTATGTATGTGTGTGTGTGTGTATGTGTGTGTGTGTCTGATTCTGGTGTGTGTGTGTGTGTGTGAGTGTGTGTGTGTGTATGTGTGTGAGTGTGTGTCTGATTCTGGTGTGTGTGTGCGTGTGAGAGAGAGAGTTTGTGTGTGTGTATGTGTGTGTGTGTGTGTGAGAGAGAGAGTTTGTGTGTGTGTATGTGTGTGTGTGTGAGAGAGAGTTTGTGTGGTGTGTGAGTGTGTGTATGTGTGTGTGTGTATGTGTGTGTGTGTGTGTGAGAGAGAGTTTGTGTGTGTGTATGTGTGTGTGTGTGAGAGAGAGAGTTTGTGTGTGTGTGTGTGTGTGAGAGAGAGTTTGTGTGGTGTGTGTGTGTGTGAGAGAGAGTGTTTGTGTGGTGTGTGAGTGTGTGTATTTGTGTGTGTGTGTGAGTGTGTGTGTGTGTGTGTGTGTGTGTGTATGTGTGTGTGTGTCTCTGGGTATATACACAGAGTGCGCTCCCCTGTATTTCTCTGTGCCTGTCTACATTCCCTGTCTTATCTGTTATCCAGCCCCCTCTCCCTCTGGCCCTCCCTGCATGTTTGCATACTCCCTCACCAATTTGGGATCAGAGTGTTCTCCACAAGGAGGAGGGGTTTGTATTTGATCATGGGGGCTGCGAGGAGTTGCTTGGTGCTAAATAGAGGGACAGGGAGAGATCCCAGACAGATCTGAAAGGCACTGAGTTCAAATCATGTTCTCCCTGAGCTCCAACTCGCGATGTCCCAGAGAGGAGGCAGAGGTGGGGGGGAGCCCAGCATTAACTGGGCCAAGGTCAGGGATCAGCCGGAATCCCTCGAAAGGATATAGTGTGAGGAGTCTTCCCACCAGCTCAGTCGATGGCAGATACCACTGGTGCATCATCAGGAACATGTGAGGAAGCAACTTGTTCTTCAGCCTCCCCTTGTCATCTGGAGGGCAAGGGGAGAGAGAGAGTGAGAGAGAGAGAGAGAGGGAGAGAGAAATGGTTAATCATGGAATCCCTAGAGTGTGGAAGCAGGCTGTTAAGCCCGTCAAGTCCACTTCAAAGAGTATCCCACCCAGACCCAGACCCCAACCCTATCCCTGTAATCCTGCATTGCCCATGCTACCCCACTCTAACCTGCACATCCCTGGACACTATGGGACAATTTAGCACGGCCAATCCACCCTAACCTGCACATCCCTGGGCACTATGGGACAGTTTAGCATGGCCAATCCACCCTAACCTGCACATCCCTGGGCACTATGGGGTAATTTAGCACGGCCAATCCACCCTAACCTGCACATCCCTGGGCACTATGGGGCAATTTAGCACGGCCAATCCACCCTAACCTACACATCCCTGGACACTATGGGGCAATTTAGCACGGCCAATCCACCCTAACCTGCACATCCCTGGGCACTATGGGACAATTTAGCACGGCCAATCCACCCTAACCTGCACATCCCTGGGCACTATGGGACAATATAGCATGGCCAACCCACCCTAACCTGCACATCCCTGGGCACTATGGGACAATTTAGCACGGCCAATCCACCCTAACCTGCACATCTTAGCACTGCAGGAGGAAACCGGAGCACCCAAAGGAAACCCACGCAGACACGGGGAGAACATGCAAACGCCACACAGACAGTCACCCAAGGGTTGAATCAAAACTGGGTCCTTGGCACCATGAGGCAGCAGTGCTAACCACCGAGCCACTGTGCCACTCTAATCACAAGGTCATACAAATTATTTGCGACCCTGGATATCCCAAATGTTATGGACCAGACCAAACACCCTCAAAATATGTTCCTGATCCTGCATTTATCTTATTTTTAATGTCAAATGTCTTCTGGATACAATTCAATTGGCCATACTACCAGGTTTGAAGCAAAATGTACTTTATTTTTTACCTTATAGTTAAAATACAAACTAAAGAGAAAAGAAATTGAAATATCTTAACTCTACTGGGAAACTTAACAGAATAATAGATTATTTAACTACTAAACTGTAACTGCTCCAATATAGTAACGTTCCATAAACACACACTTGGCAAAGGCAAAGTCAGTAAAATAGATTGTCTCACATATAATTCCAGCAGCAGGAAGACAACCCTAACTCTTAGCAGTAAGAGAGAGAGCAATAAATGTTTCCACATACAGGTTTAAGACCCTAGCAACTGCTGAAAGCTAAAACTAAGAATCCTGGTTCTGTGGGAGCCTGACCCCACCCATTCATGTTGCTTCTATTGTTCCAAATTTACACACAAAAAAAAAACGCTAGGTTGGCGCAGAGCAGACAAGTGAACAACACTTGCTTTCCAATGAAACACAACAGAACAAATCCTTCTCAGAGACATTCTTGTAACATGAAGCTGGGCAGATAGCTGTAAACCATCCCCTCTGAGCTCTAACCATTGTCGTTATGCTCACCATTGGTAACCATTTAGAACACAATCCTGCCTGTCCCCAGTTCCAATCTCCTGCTCTTCCGCCATACCCCTGAACACCATTTCTATCCAAATAATCATCCAATGCCCATCTTTAATGCCCCTCAATTGAACCTGCCTCCACTACATTTCCAGGAGGTACATTTCCATACCCCAACTACTTGATGTGTTTCTCACAACGCCATTGCTTCATTTGCATTTCACTCGAGCACTGTTGCTTTTGCAAGGTACAGGAGTCCTGGATGGAGACACCAAATCCGCAACATTTTCTGCACGACCTCACACAGCCCAGTTACAGGTGACAAAAAGTTCGGATTCGAACACAGAGATCTGAGATAACATGTCTGCGAAAAAAACAGCCTTTACACTCTCTCCATCTTCCCCTCTCCCCCCTCTGAAACATCTTCACATCCAAGGCAGTGAGTGGAAAACCCACTGGAGGACCTCATCACCACCAGTGGAGGGATCCAAAGGGAATATTTGAAATCTACACCACTGTCACCAGAAAAGCGACTTCAGCAAGCCGTAACTGATCCAAAAGGATAGCCTAGTGCCAACAGCTTTGAGTGAAAAGTGTCATTTGACTGCAAATCAACTTTCGGAACAATCTGCGAATAGTTTTTTTTTGCCCTGAATTTAAATGTTACTTGACTAAAGAACTTTTAAAGGAAATCTTTGCAGAGTTTTTACATTTTTTTACTCAGACTTGGATGTTGCGAACTGAAGTGTAATTTTGATTAAGAAGGGTAGTTGTATACATTTGCACAGTTTGATAAATAATCTTTACAACTTTGCTTAAAACATGTTTTATAAGTTGCTGCTTAAGGAACCAGTCTGACCTGTTTCTGGCATTGATCTATGTCAAGATGTGTTGAGGTATATTGTTAATATCAATGGCCTTATGGAAGTAGGAGGGTAGGAATGACTAATTTTATTGCAAAAATGTTGGGGAGAACTCCCGGCAAGCAGTACAGAGATACAATTACCATTCAACAGAACATAAAAGTTTAACTCAGTAATAAACTGCCGCACGGCCGTGATACCCAACAGAAACCTTTATTAGAAGAAATAATCCAGTGCTTCTGTGCCTCAAAGTTTAATACCTTGAGGAGGCTCACTCTTAGAGCCAGCATAGAGAGGAGATTGGTGGGAAAACCTGACCCCAAGCAATATCTGGTTCAACAGACGTACAGAAACAAATGCGGAGAGAGAGAAAGAGAGATAAAGATAGAAAGAAAGAGAGAAATAGAGAGAAAGAGTGTAATACTTGAGAGAGAAAGAAAGAGATATTTGAGAGAGAAATGGATATTGAGAGAGAGAGAGCGATTGAGAGAAAGAGAGAGATAAAGTTTTAGCAAAGATCTGCAGCTCGGGGTGGTAGGTGAGGCTGTTGACTTGTTGACTTTTTCTCGTTCAGACGTTTTATCACCATGCTAGGTAACATCATCAGTGAGGCCTCTGCTGAAGCGATGTTATTCTACTCCGCTGGAATTTATACTGTCTGGTCCGTTATGGTGTGTACTGTCATTTCTGGTTTTGTTCTATATGGGTTTGTATATGGGGTCCAATTCTGTATATTTGTTGATTGCATTATGGGTTGAGAACCATGCCTCTAGGAATTCCCGTGCGTGTTTATGCTTGGCTTGGTCTACTATGGTTACTTTGTCCCATACAGAACAAAACTGGAAATGACAGTACACACCATAATGGACCAGGCAGTATAACTTCCAGCGGAGTAGAACAACATCGCTTCATCGGAGGTCTCACTGATGATGTTACCCAGCATGGTGATAAACCGTCTGAACGAGAACAAGCCAGCTCAGCGAGCAAGTCAACAACCTCAAAGGCAGAGATATTTGAGAGAGATTGATATTTAGGTAGAAAGATATGGACCGAGAGGGTGAATGGCTGAAAGAGAGAGCGAGATGTAGGCAGAGATACAGAGATCCATCACAAGAAACTAGAAAGAGAGAGAGAGAGAGGTTCCTTACCAAATTCATTGATGCAAGCCTGGATCATCTCATCGATTGTGGCTGATTTCTCTGTCACCAGAAATTCTGGCTTCTCAGCCTCTTTGCTGGACATCTCCGCCATTTCGCCCCCAACACAGAGAAAGGGTTGGGGTGGAGGGGTTGGTAAGCCTGAGATGGATGGGGTAGACGTGCAATCAAGCAGCTGCCGTTCAGCACTGGTTCGGCACCAGGTTACCGGGCACACATCAGTTGTCGCGGTGCTGTAGGGTGAGAAATTCTGATGTTAGACAACCCAGTGATTAATAAAAATCAAACAGGAAGATGCTGCATTCTGCTAACACAGCGCTGCACTGTCGGAGGGTCAGTGCTGAGGGAGCGCCGCACTGT